GATAGATAGATAGATAGATAGATAGATAGATAGATAGATAGATAGATAGATAGATAGATAGGATTAGATATAGAGAGGGGGGAGAGGAAGAAAGAGAGAGAGAGGATTAGATATAGAGGTGGATGAATAGATAGGTGATGTAGAGATAGACAGACAGACAGACAGACAGACAGACAGATATGCCCTTTTACTACACTATTTTCATCCACAGATGCATTTTTTGTCCCGATTTGTCCCAAGCATATGAAATGTACCACGGACGATACACATTTTCAGCGATAGCCGCATTTCACTCTGGGTAGCAGTCAGGAAATGGGAAGTGGATTTTCCCATGTGGCATTACTAAGGGCGTCTCTGCCACCTTCCCCCTTGTGACAGCGCTGGGCAGTCCTCCTGCTCCAAAGAACTTACTCTTTCACGTCGATGGGCTCGTCGTTCTCCATTTTCCTCTGAACATTTTGAATTAAAATATCCCCATAGTGTTTAATGATGGGAAACATCTGGAAAACAAAACCACAGTTTTAAACATGGACAGGCAGTCCCCCCCTTCTTAGTTGCTGATGTGTTCCAACAAAGCCAGGGGCTGGTTCATAAAGGATGACAAATTCAACTGTGATGAAGATAGTGGCAGTCCTTCTTAAGTTTGATTGATGGGTTCCTCCAAAATTTATTTCTCTTTCTCCTTGGGGCATTTTGGGGCTGAAATTGGACAGGGCGTCTAATCTGGTCCTGGACTGATGTTCTTTGGAGACCTTTTAGAGATGTTTGTGGAAGTGAAATTGAGATGTATGGCCCTCGTGGTCCATATTTAATCAGAATACAGCTGGAAGGAACCTTTCAGGTCTTCTAGTCCAGCCCCTGTTCAAACAGTAGATCCTATAGCATTTCAGACAAATGACTGTTCCTTCCTTCCTTCCTTCCTTCCTTCCTTCCTTCCTTCCTTCCTTCCTTCCTTCCTTCCTTCCTCCCATCTTTTCTTCCTTCTCTCTACTCCTTTCTTCCTTCTTTCCTTCCTTCCTTCTTTCCTCCCAGCCTTTCTTCCTGTTCTCTAGTCCTTCCTCCTTCCTTCCTTCCTTCTTTCCTTCCTCCCACCTTTTCTTCCTTCTCTCCTTCCTTCCTTCATTCCTCCCACCTTTTTTCCTTCTCTCTACTCCTTTTTTCCTTCCTTACTCTTTCCTCCCTCCCTCCCACCGTTTCTTCCTTCTTGCTACTCCTTTCTTCCTTCTGTCCTTCCTTCCTTCTTTCCTCCCACCCTTTCTTCCTGTTCTCTAGTCCTTCCTCCTTCCTTCTTTCTTCCCTCCCACCTTTTATTCGTTCTCTCTACTTCCTTCCTTCATTCCTCCCATGTTTTCTTCCTTCCTTTTCTCCTTCCTTCTCTTTCCTCCTTCCTTCCTTCATTCCTCTCACCTTTTCTTCTTTTCTCCTTCCTTTCTTCTTTCTTTCCTTCTTCCTCTTTCCTTCCTTCCTTCATTCCTCCCACCTTTCTTCCTTCCTTCACTCCTTCCTTCCTTTCTTCCTTCTTTCTTCCTTCCTTCTTTCTTCCTTCCTTCCTTCCTCCTTTCTTCCTCCCTCCCTCCTTCCCTCCCATCTTTTCTTCCTTCTCTCTACTTCCTTCCTTCATTCCTCCCATGTTTTCTTCCTTCCTTTTCTCCTTCCTTCCTTCTCTTTCCTCCTTCCTTCCTTCATTCCTCCCACCTTTTCTTCTCTTTTCTCCTTCCTTTCTTCTTTCTTTCCTTCTTCCTTTCCTTCCTTCATTCCTCCCACCTTTCTTCCTTCCTTCACTCCTTCCTTCCTTTCCTTCCTTCCTTCTTTCTTCCTTCCTTCCTCCTTCCTTCCTCCCTCCCTCCTTCCCTCCCACCTTTTCTTCCTTCTCTCCACTCCTTCTCCGTTCTTTTAAGTTTTTTTTTTCTTGTTACCTCCTTCAGCTTCCCGCTGGTGAAGGTGGGAGAAAGCACTGTGCGGATCCTCTTCCATTGTTCGTCTTTGGCCATAGAGACTGCGTTTTTTAAGATGTCCGGTGCAGGGAAAACCTGGAGGCCAGGATGAAAACATGACACCATATTCAGATTTCAACAAGGCACGTTGAAGGCATCTACCACCTACTCCCAACTGTGGCCCAACTTAAAACTGATCAAAGCAGAAAATCTCAACCCAGACTCAATTTCGCACGTTTCAAAATACGATAGAGAGTGGGGGGGGGGATTCCAAACTTCCTCTTCCTATCTTCTGGTTTAACATACAGCCTGGTTTAAAATACAGCCTGGTTTAAAACATACAACACACGTTTTGCTATCTGATGGTACAAGATGCAAAAGACTCACTCGCCGGTTGGTAAAAGTACTGTAGCTTTCTTTCACTAGGACAGCCTTGATAATTGCAGGATCCAATACAGCAATAATAGGTTGGCGGCCATCATAAAGCCTGCATTCAGAAGAAAGAAGCACAAAGAGATGCTATAAGCAGAGATCTACATATATCTTCTCTGAGCTTACAGTGTAGCCTTTTCTACTTTTCTACCCTGCCCTGATTTTTTGACTAAATCTCCCATCATCCCCAGCCAGCATTTTTGAGGAGGATGGGATGTGTAGACTGGTATTGCTGAAGCATCCCGAGTTGGGACAGACTTATTGTCCTGGTAGTCTTTACGGAGAATCTAAAACAGAATGACCGATTGTTATACCTTAAAGAAGACCCAAGTAATCGGAAGAGTTCCTAGTGGCTGATGGGTTCTCAGCAGAGGTGGGTTCCTGCCAGTTCGCACCAGTTCGGTAGAACCGGTTCGTCAAATCTACCGAACCGGTTAGAAGAGGTTCCACCAGTAGACCCGGAAAGCAGGCCACACAGAAGAGGTTCCAAAAAATTTTGAAACCCACCACAGACACACACACACAGAAAGAGAAAGAAAGGAAGAAAGAAAGAAAGAAAAAAAGAAAAAAAGAAAGAAAAAGTTAAGAGAGATGAAAGAAAAAAAGGAAAAAGGGACAGAGAGACAAAAGGAAGGAGAGAGAGAGGGAGAGAGAGAGAGAGGGAGAGCACATGGCCGGTAAGCCACTCCCACAAAGGAGGCCACACCCACAGAGCAAGTTCGAAATTTTTTTGAAACCCACCACTGACACACACACACACACACACACACACACACACACACACAC